CCCCAGTATTGGGAAGTCATCGAAACAGAGGCAGTCTTCTGGAATGGCTTCATTTGCCTCCGTCGTTGTGCTACAAGCTCAGTGTCACTTCTATCCTATATGTTGCAGCATCCCAAGTTACATGTTTTCATTTAGGATTCTGTCAACTGTCGACCCATACAGTAAATAGTACAATAAACTTATATAAGTTTTGCTGTGCTTGTTTTTGCTGACTCGACTGAGGGAAATGTCACAAGCATGTCGGACTCTCGCAGACTGCCAGAATCTCGACGAGCATGTGATCTCCCAGACTGGAAACGTAGACGAAAAAAAGCGAAAGGAGCTGCAACGAATGCGCCGTCCAAAGCTCATGAGCCTGATCGCTTCTCATCACCTTCCGGAAGATGAGGATTTCATGCGCAAAATTGAGGCTATGTATTCGACAGCAAAAGATTCAACAGAGGATGAGGATGAGGATGACATTATCATGGGGGACTTTGTTGATGAGCTGGTTCTTGACGACCTGCTTGCTGAGGACAAACAGGAATTTAAAATGGTCTCAGACGCAGTCAGAAAACGCAGAATCAAAAGGGTGCATCAAACCTGGCAGGACATCAAGACGCAGCAAGCAAAGGCCAAGGCAAAGGGCAAGGCCAAAGCAAAGACCAAAGCAAAGGCCAAGCCACAGGCCAAACGGAAAGCCAAGAGAAAGATTTGTCGCCCACGTATGTTGCCCAGGAAGCAACCCGCGCCTCCTGATGAAAGGGGTCAAGAGGGAGCAGAAGGCAGAGTGCCAGCACCTCCTGCTGAGGTGCCGGTGGAGCCGGAGCCTGATAATCACGTGGAGGCCGCGGAAGGCAGAGTGCCAGACCCTCCTGCTGAGATGCCGGAGGTGCCTGCTGCAATCCCTGTCCCAGAGCCTGATGATCACGTGGAGCCCGAGGAAGGCAGAGTGCCAGCCCCTCCTGCTGAGATGCCGGAGGTGCCTGCAGTGCCTATCCCAGCACTCGAGCCACGGGAGGTTGCAGTCCGTGGCCCCCAACATCCGCGGCGGCCGAACCGTGTTGACTACCAAGGGGTATGGACACCTGTTCAATGCCCGGAGTGTCCCAAGATCGCTGGTGAGATGAAGTACGACCCGAATCCTGGTGGCACTGACAAAGCAAAATGGTTTCTCCGAGTTCGTGTGACAGACGGCGGTCTCTTGGAAAGATTCGGAACAGTTGTTATAGCTTCGATGTGGTTGCCTGATCTGCTGTGTGTTGTGTCACATTACATGAACCCATGTGTGTCTGGCATTGAAGGCGAGTGGAGCCACCTCGTACCCTATCACTGGGGACGTGTGGCTTCCAAGATGACAGAAGCGCAGGCCAGACAACACGTCATTGACCATAGGCCCTGTTGTGGCCCGACGAGGAGGCCTGGCAACAACTAGAGGATTCATCCTGCGCTGCAAAGAAAAGTTGTGTGTCTGTCTGTGTGCTTGCATTGATGGCAGCGGGTCCTGCTAGATTGGAATGCGTCCGAGAGACTGTGTGTTTCTGCTTGGGGAAGACGGATTGCGAACGCATGTTCGCATTTTCACACATGTGGAATTTGTCACGTGCAAGCACATGGACAATCATTTCGAGTGCCACAACCCGGAAGCCGCACAAACTAGCACATGTGGTTTGAAGCCGTGCGTGCTTGTGACTGAACAGTAGCCGTCCAGAGCAATGCAGTTCGCCCCGATCGAACGAGGAGAGTGTTTCTTCAGAGGCGAGCTCTCCCCAATCTTGATCAAAACCGCTTGCGAAAAATTGGCCAAAGCGCCTGTCCAGTGGAGACCAGCTGAGAGATGGAAGGAAGTTTATGACGACGTGCCTTGGGAAATCATGGTTCGCTACCTGCGTTACTGGCCACGTATTTGCTCCCGCATTACAGGAGGCCTCAGGCTTCTTCGACGGTACCAAGGCCCCTTCCCGAAGTGTTATCAGGTGGGTGAAGGAGAAGAACCGCTGGAGTTGCCGCGCGTTTCTCTCGTTTGTGATTTTGTTTATGTTTTGAACGACGAAGATGAACAACAACGGCAGTTTGTCCTTCAGATGAAACACCTCTCACTTGTTGCCATCCGTCTCGGTGGTCCGGGGGAACTTCCTGACCTGGATGCTGGAGCAATACCTTTGACCGACCAGCTTTGTGCAAAGTTGGGGTGGCAATAATTAATGGATCTTGAGGCGGGAAGGCAGAGTGCCAGCAGCTGGGAAGGCAGAGTGCCAGACGTTGTCGCGTCACCCAGCTGTACCCGGCTTCGCCTGCACGTGATTCGCTTGACAGTGTGGTCAACGCAGAAAAGCGCAACATCCAGCAGTTCGTAGCCACTTCACGTGATTTGTGCATCCCTAATACTATCACACCCTAAAACTATGGCACTCTGCCTTCTAGCCCCAAACCCTAAATACTAAAGACCCTGAAACTCTAACCCTAACCCTTTCATTACCCTCAAACCATAACACTATGGCACTCTGCCTCCTAACCCCAAACCCTAAATATACTAAAGACCCTGAAACTCTAACCCTAACCCTTTCATTACCCTCAAACCCCTAATACTATGGCACTCTGCCTTCTAACCCCAAACCCTAAATATACTAAAGAACCCTGAAACTCTAACCCTAACCCTTTCATTACCCTCAAACCCTAACACTATGGCACTCTGCCTGCTAACCCCAAACCCTAAATACTAAAGACCCTGAAACTCTAACCCTAACCCTTTCATTACCCTCAAACCCCTAAGACTATGGCACTCTGCCTTCTAACCCCAAACCCTAAATATAATAAAGACCCTGAAACTCTAACCCTAACCCTTTCATTACCCTCAAACCCCTAATACTATGGCACTCTGCCTTCTAACCCCAAACCCTAAATATAATAAAGACCCTGAAACTCTAACCATAACCCTTTCATTACCCTCAAACCCCTAATACTATGGCACTCTGCCTTCTAACCCCAAACCCTAAATATAATAAAGACCCTGAAACTCTAACCCTAACCCTTTCATTACCCTCAAACCCCTAATACTATGGCACTCTGCCTTCTAACCCCAAACCCTAAATATAATAAAGACCCTGAAACTCTAACCATAACCCTTTCATTACCCTCAAACCCCTAATACTATGGCACTCTGCCTTCTAACCCCAAACCCTAAATATAATAAAGACCCTGAAACTCTAACCCTAACCATTTCATTACCCTCAAACCCCTAATACTATGGCACTCTGCCTTCTAACCCCAAACCCTAAAGACCCTGAAACTGTAAACCCTGTGCCAGGTCTTCTTCATCCTCGTCTTCTCGGAAAAAACATTAAAAAATGTAGTTTTTTTTTTTGTGTTTTAAAGTTTTTAAAAAATTTTAAAAGTTGTTTAAAGTCTTTAAAAGTCTTTCAAAGTCTTTTTAAAGTTTGTAAAAGCTTTTAAAAGCTTTTAAAAGTCTTTTAAAGTCTTTTTAAAGCTTTTAAATGTATTTTAATGTTTTTAAAAGTCTTTTAAATATTTTAAAAGCCTTTTAAAGTTTTGAAAAGTCTTTTAAAGTTTGCAAAAGTCTTTTAAAAGTTTCTAAAAGTCTTTTAAAGTCTTCTAAAAGTTTTTAGAATGTTTTTTCTTGCATTTGAAAGTTTTTAAAAGTCTGTAAACGTCTTTAAAAGCCAACTCTGTCGAAAAAGCCCTGTGGATCTAAACCTTGTGGTTCTGGTTCGGTGCAAAGGGGCAATGAAAAAGAGGGCATGTTCTCTATCCGATTCTTGTTGGATCGATTGCCATGTTTGCCACTTTAGTTTTCATGTCCTTTCTTTACCTTGTACTCCGGTGGGAATTGTTTCATGGCCTCATGCCGCTGCCAGTTTCCTCAATCAGTGTGAGTGAGGAAAACAAATTTTGTCCCACCCACCCAACCCTAGGGGGACTTATGACTTGAGGTGCACGGTCAAACCGAGCACGTCAGAACTGAGCTGTGGCTCTTGTGTTATGCTGGGCCGAGGGGGCCCAGCAATGCGACTCATCCCCAGTTTGCCGATGCGTGCAAAACAGTCGAGTGAGCAGCTTCGCAGCAGTCACAATTTTGATATGTTTCGCAAATATGTTTGTGCGCCCAAATATCATTTCGGGCAATACTGATTGATGAATCTTACCATTGTCTGATGTTCGACATTTCCTCGAAGGGGAATATACATGTCCCATTTAATACATTGAGTTTGTTTCTATGTTGCGATATTTTGAAACTCCGACGAACTTCATAAGTCCAAACGCTGGCTTTTCCTGTCCAACCGACCGGAGATACTCGACCTTGCATCTGAGTGCCACCATGGTGCCAGGGCGCACAAAGCTGTGTGGGGGATTCGTGCTGATGACGGCAGTTTCCTGAGTCGTGTGACGGCTGCGTATCCAAAATCTCTGGCTAAAGCCTTGGCCGCTGTCTTGGGACGATATACATCCTCTCAGGGCCGTCTGCCGTCTGCTTTCCTGCGCAGAGTGGCGCTCTGTCCTGCCCGTAGATCCAGTCTGGCCTCAATTAGGTCGTCGCATCGAGGACGGTGCAGGTGTTAATAGTACCGTGTGCTGGATTACACCCCAAGCCGATGACCATCTTGCGGGCCTTCGCAAGAAGTGGACGCAGCGTCTGGCAGACAGTCGGCTCTGCCTCCGCATTTGTTCCACACTGCAGGCTGGTACCGATAGGCCACCGATCAGTGCCGAGGAGCTTCAGCCTTTTCTCAATGACCTGTGTAGCTTTTGCGCTGTTCCCGAAAATGAAGTCGAGAATTTCCTTTCCACTCAACCGGGACAGCCGTTCCGCTTGAATGTCCTTGAGAAGCTGCTGGCGATTACTAAGGACCCTGAATCGGATCTCTGCCAGCACCTCCGGAAGGGCGTGCGGATTGGCGTGGACCACGAACTGCAACCCTCGCCTCACTGGCCGCTTCGCACTGTGGATCCGATTGTTTCGGATCTCGTGATTTGCGAAGGCTCTTGGAAAAGTGCATCTGACCATGCACCCAGAACAGGTCCGGGAGCTCCTGGCTCAGGAAATCGCGGAGGGATGGATCGTAGAAAGGCCTTCGGTTCAATACCTGCATGATCACTTTCCGGCGGTTGCCATTGGCAAACTGGGACTGGTACTGGCTGAGGGTAGGTCCCCTCGACTCACAGTCGACAGCTCGATTAGTGGTGTTACGGCTGCCTGTCAGATTCCAAACCACATGCTGCTACCACGTATTTCGGATGTTGAGGATTGCGCCCCTTCCTGCCTGGGACGCCATCCGTGGATCACCGTATCTCTGGATGTGCGAAAGGCACACCGCATGGTCATGGTGGAGCACTGTGACCAGGCTCTGCTGGCGTTCACTTTCGAAGGACGAGTCTTCACGTCCAGCACTCTTAATTTCGGAGCCAGAGCATCAGCTTTTTGGTGGGCCAGAGTTGGGGGGGCCTTACTTCGCTTGTCACACGCGGCGATTTGGCTTTCGCATCTTCTTTGGGGCTACGTCGACGACTTCTTGGGAGGTTTCCGTGGCGATGTGGCTCCAATCTCTGCCTCCATTTGGATTCTCTTGCTCCTTGCCCTGGGAGTGCCGCTTTCTTGGTCGAAATGTGTCTGGTCGCCGGAGTGCATTTGGATCGGATGGTCAATCAAACTTGAAAGCTGGATCTGTGAGCTGCCGCCTGCGAAAATTTCCAAGATTCTTGACCAAATTACGGATTTGCTCGCCGCGGGTGACAAGGTCAAGTTCAAAACCTTGGAATCACTCATTGGACGCCTATTGTGGGTCACAGGTTTGTGGACCGTGCTCAGGCCTTTGCTGTCTCCGTTGTATGCGGCCCTGCAGCGCTTGCCCGTTTCCTCGGTTGGCGTCACCCCTAACCTATGGGCTGCGATCAAGCGCAACATTGCGGAGGATTGCGTGCTGACTCGTTCTGTTGGGCACCCGTCCTTCCACAAAGGCGCTTGCGTTACCCGCGCTGCGAATACTTTCGTCTCATCCAAGCAGGATCTTGATACGGTTCAGTTCAGGAAGCGCCGATTGTGGGTGGAAGTGAAGGATCCCGGACACCCGCTGCGAGTCCTCGGGGATGCTGGCAGGTCAAGCTTAATTGCATGGCGTGCCATTTTCCAGGGCACCCCTTTCATGAAGGCGCTTCGCAGTCCGATCCCGCTGAAGGTCATTGCTGAGGCTGATGCCTTTGCCGAGGCGGAGGTGTCTGGTTTAGGAGGCTACGCTATGTGGCCCAGCGGTCGCACAGTCTGGTTCTCTATCAGAAAAGACAGTCAGGAGTGGGCTGCTCTCACTTCGTTGTTTCCTCCGCCCCTCCAGGCGCATATTTCGGCGATGGAACTGTTGGCTCAATTACTGTTGCTTTGGTGCATTGTTGCCACTTTGCCATCCCATCGCGGGCTCTGTCGGGCCTGCCTTCGGTCGGAGGCTTGTGCGTCCAAAAGGCTGTCCTCGGTGCTGTCCATGAGCGAGATTGTGAAAAAGTTCCTTGCATTTCAGGCGTGGGCTGGAGTCCAGGCGGAGGTCGAGCATGTGCCGAGGTATCGCAATGAACTTGCAGATGCATTGAGCAGGCTTACGACTGCCGATGTTGCACCTCTGCCGCTGGGTGATCGTGTGCACCCACCACTGCAATGGCTTCTCGAGCAGCGGCTCGCGCTGGAACCTGCATCGGCCTCGTGGCCGCCTCCTTTCAAGAGTTGGCTGAGTAGATCCTGAGTGCTGACTTTTCGTTATCACTTCCATTTTTTTTTAGGCTTGCTCGCCGGGCTGTGAAAACACGTCGCCAGATGCCGCCCTGTTTTACTGAAGCCTTGTTGCAGAGCTGCTCTGTTGCCATGCCGTGCACGTGTGGGAGAAGTGCGGCCGGGTGATCTTCAGCACGCATGCTGACGTCGATCATGCGTGTCGCCCCGGCCGTGATGTATGTTGCCGGATTCTTCTTTGCACTCTGATGCGGACTTCGAGCTCCGGCTTGACGGCGTCCGCTTCAATATCTGTGAAGTTGACTGCTGCCGGCCTCGCTTGCCTTCCGCAGTCTTTTTGCTTACAGTAGCTCGGGTCTCCTCCCTTGGCATCAACATGTCGGGTCACTCTGTGGATTCTTCATGTATGTCCGGTGCTGATCAGGAGTCGTCTCCTTATTCGGGGCCGGTTCTACGGGAGGCTGATCTTGGAGCGGTGGGGGCCTGTCCCCCGCCTTGCCTCCAATGCGATCTCCTTCGTGCGGAGGTGCTGATGCTACGTGCTGAAGTTGCGAGCTTGCGCAATTCCAGCTTGGCGGCCCTCTGGGATGCGATCTATGCACTGCAGGGCCAGCTCAACGAACTTCGCCCACGTGGGGAGGATGATCATTTTTCCTTTGTGTTCACGGCGGTCGAGGAGAACACAGCGGCTCGCTTGCTGCGCTCGCCCCTGGCGAATGTTAGATGCCTCCGCTATCATGAGCAGAGGCTTGATGCACTTGTGAACCTCAATGCTGACATGAGCGCCGACTTCGGTTGCTGGACTTGGCATTGTCCCGTGCCTCAGGCTAGATCTGACGCCAGGTTGTGCATCCGAGTGAAAACCAGCGAATGTGTTCTGCACTTCATGACATGTTTCTCGATTTATTTCGGGTCTTTTCCCCTGTCCGGGTCGCGAAACGAGTTTTACTTGGCTTTCGACCCTTTTAAACCCTTCCCTCTGACCAGTGCGTTTGAGCTCGGTCTCCACGGTGGGACGGGGTTTGAACGTTTGCTGCATTGGCTGGGGGTTTCGTCGGGTTGGTCGATCGTTGACTCGGCATCTCCTTTCGAGAAAACATGTCGGTTTGGTGCGTGCACATTTCTCTATCTTTCGGAATGGAATTATATTTCGATTCCGTCTGTTTCCATTTTGGAATATCTTTCGGATATACTTATATCTCTATATCTCTATATCTTTTGACTGGGAACTTGAACGTATACGGACTAAGAGGGCTTCAAACGATTTTCGTTTTTGAAACGATTTTGTTTGCTAGCCCTCAAAGCCCGGAAGGCAAGTTTTTGATTTTCAACACATGCCTTTTTCCTTTGCGCATGCTTGGACGTGGCTGTGTTGAATTTCGCTTTCCGTTTGCCTTTTGGTTCAAGTTCCGTTTCCTGGTCAAATTTTTCACCCACCACCATCCCCTTGCACCCGCCATGGGGGGGGTTGTTACGGTACGGCTTTCGACCCTTTTAAACCCTTCCCTCTGACCAGTGCGTTTCCCCTTTCCCTTTGGAGCTCGGTCCCCACGGTGGGACGGGGTTTGAACGTTTGCTGCATTGGTTGGGGGTTTCGTCGGGTTGGTCGATCGTTGACTCGGCATCTCCTTTCGAGAAAACATGTCGGTTTGGTGCGTGCACATTTCTCTATCTTTCGGAATGGAATTATATTTCGATTCCGTCTGTTTCCATTTTGGAATATCTTTCGGATATACTTATATCTCTATATCTCTATATCTTTTGACTGGGAACTTGAACGTATACGGACTAAGAGGGCTTCAAACATGCATGAAGGCCCCGCTTCATTTGGCCTTGTCACCCAGCTTTTGTCACTGGCGGCGAATGCCATAGCGCTTTGCCAAGGCGCACGCCTGGGCTCTCTGAAGCTTTACAACAAACGCTTCATGAGGATCTGCTTCACCAAATACGAGGCCGCCGCCAGCCTACGAGGACCCACTACGATGGAAGCTCAGGCCGCCGATCGCCGCTGTTGGGAAATCATCGCCGACTTAGTCAATGTGCACCATTGGAAGCTGGATGATGCGCTTCACGAGGTGGCTGAGGTGCGATCGGATTTGCACAGCTTACTCGCGCCGAGGCCCTTCATCCCCAAGCCCAAGTTCGACCCGGACAACAGCTGGAAATCCCGCTTCACGGGCAACGGACGCGGTGGCAAGGGTGGCGGCCGTGGCGGCAAAGGTCGAGGGCGAACGCTTTGAGCGGGGCGGAAAAGGCAGCAAGGGCAAGGACAACAAGCAAGCCACTCCCCCCGGCAAGTGGCTTTCCACGATCTTCATGGACGGTAAGCGTCAGACACTTTGCATGAGGTACCAGAGCGGGCAGTGCAAGGACCCGGCTACCTGCCGCTACTTGCACAGATGTGCAGTGCCCAAGAGTGACGGCACAGCTTGCGGGGGCAACCGCCCGGCTTCTCAGCATGTGGCCACCCCGCTTTGGGAAACCCACTTCAGCGAACAGCGGGACGTCGCTGAGGAGGTCACGGCTGTCCCGCTTAGTGTGCCGGCGCAACCTTCAGGCTCTGCAGGGGCCACCTCGACACTGCCCAAGGCAAGTGCCCCGGTGTCCTGTGCAGCTTCAGCACTCAGTGAAGGGTTTCTGGACTTCGCTACCTGCTTGGAGCTTCTAGCGCAGTACTTTTCCACTCCCTTCACCTCCTCTTCTCAGTGCTCCGACACCGCCGTTGCAGCTTCTGAGGCATATTTCAATTTGGGAGCTTTCGCTTTTGACAATGGTACAAGGTCGGGCATATTCCAGCGCACAGAACAATTTTCCGATGTTCTCCGATTCTTGAACGCTTTTATGCAGCTTCAGTTTCCGGAAGCCTCCTGGAGTTCCCTCTGTGTCAGCCATAATGTTCGCACCCGCTTGCATACAGACGCTGGCAATGCTGCAGGGACCCTCAACCATACAGTTTCACTCGGCAACTTCAGCGGAGGTGAGGTCTGGCTTTGCCCCGCTTTGGACCCGGAGGCGCCGCAGGTCCCGACACCTATGGACGCTTCGTCTGAGGCCCAGAGCGCAACAAGCGCCGGCCAAGGTGAGTTGCGGGACACCTGGCACGCGCCGCTTTCCTTCAGCTGTGAATCGCTTCACTGTACGATGCCCATTCAAGGAGACAGGTGGGTCCTGACCGCTTATACTTGTAAGAACTTGAACCACTTTGATGCGAAGTCACTTGCACACTTGCGGTCATTGGGCTTCCCACTCCCCTCTGCAACCCCCGCCAATCCTCAGCCGGTAATGCCCCCGCTCAAGGACACAACATGCGTTGAGCTTTTCCTGGACATATGCTGTGGGGCGGCTCACCCACTTACCACGGCGATGTCATCTTGTGGCATCACTTGTTTGCCCATTGATCTGCTTGGCGAGGAGCAACTGGACATCCTGCACGACGACACGTACGACCACCTCCTTCGGCTGTGTTTTTCAGGAATTGTCCGCTTGGCTCACGGATCCCCGCCGTACAAGGAGACTCCCGCCTGAAGCTTCGTCCAGGTGGCCCCCTGGCTATTCGGTCCCCGGACCATTTGAATGGCCTACCAGGGAACACCGCTTCGCAGCAAGCCAGGGTACACAGCAGCCAGAAGCTTTTATACCGTTGTGTCTGCCTGCTTCGAGCTGCCTTCGGTTCAGGTGCACATGTGTCCCTGGAGCAGCCCACCAACGCCATGTCTTGGTTGGAACCATTCGTGCAGGATATGCTTTCCGAGATACAAGCTTCACTGGTCAATATCCCGGCGTGTTCAGTGGGCCAGGACATAGCTAAGTCTTGGCTGTTCGCTTGTAGCTACAGCGAGTTCCGCAGTCTGGCAGGTACATGCTTACATGAAGAGGGCCACCAGTCGGTCGCAGGTGCCAGGGATGAGCGCGGGAATTTCCTGTCTCAAAGGACGGCAGAATACCCGTCCCAGCTTGCCAGCAGCTTTTCAGACAGGGCAGTGAACCTCTTTTCTTCAGCCAGACCCTCATACCCGGTGTCTCCCTGCTCTTTGAAGTTTGCGCTTGCCTCTATTCCCAAAAAGCCACGCTCTACACCGCCCACGGCCGCACAGGATGGTGGGGGCATCTACTTCTTGCCGGACTGGTCTCTTGGCCCAAGGTACCAATCCGACAGCTTGCATGACCTGCGGAAGGAGTGGCAATCTTGGCTGCTTGGGAATAGAATTCCTCTTCGTCTTCAGCAACATGTCGCCGAAGCCAGCAATAACCCACTTTTCTCGGCGGAAGAAACAGAGTGGCTTCGATCGTCCTTCAA